GTGTGTGTGTGTGTGTGTGTGTGTGTGTGTGTGTGTGTGTGTGTGTATTTTATCCATCAGTCATTCTGAGCCTAAATATGAAAGCCATTGCTCTGCAGTTTTTACACAATTAGAATTTTGGTTGTGTAACTAATTGAATGTCCCAAATAAAATGTTGCTGCAGCCACAGGTTGTGGGGCTGCTGTGATCTTTAAGTCTTCATGATGCAGTTTTACACCATCAGCAAAAGTCCTTAAAGGAAGAACTTTAATCAAAGCAGGACTGCCATGTGTAAAATCTTACTTTTATTAAACTGTGGACAATTCCCATCTCTAAATAAGTTATAATGTGTTGGGAATAAAACTCTAAAAGCATGAGGTAGCACTTAAAACAACAAATAAATAAATAAATAAATTGTTAAAGGGCGTGTCTGTCTCCGTCCTAATATGGCTTCCTGTAAACTCCAAAGACTTTCCGTGTTTTTATCTTCCTGCTGCTGGGAACACAGGAGGCGGTTGTGGTGGAAAGGTTCTGGGACGCAGGGATTCCTTGTTTACATCCATCCCAGAGTACGCCGGGAACGGTGGGTGGGGCGTGCGCATCGGCCCCGCCCACATTCTTTCGACCTGACGTCATTGTCGCTTGTGTTTTTTATGAATGAAAAGAATCCAGCCTCAGTGAGCAGCAGTAATTCCGGGAAAAGGCGGACTGACATTTTCTCGCCAGAGTCGCGTCGAACCAACAGGTAAATTCTGTCTTCTTTTCCCCCCTTTTCCTTTTTAAATATCAGACATTGAAACGCTACGCTGTAATTCAGCGGTAATAGCCGAGCGTTAGCGGAATGGGACGACTCGCCAAGGACGAGAGAACAGGCAGCTGTTTACTTTAATCCCCGATAGCTCGTTCAAGCTAGGTGCTAACGGTTAACATTACTCACATATTTAGATTTGTGGCGTCTTATTTTTATCTTTATCCACYTGTTTGTTGGCAACTAAATATCCATTTTACTTATTTATCTCCCTTATATGTTTAAGACTGTTTGGGACCTTATTTAAAATGTAAATAAACGTCGGAAACACGCTTGTGATGGCTGTTTACTACAGCCCTTAGCTCCCCTCCGATAAGAACATCATGTCGCCAAGTAAAAGGGTACAAAACCTATTTTATTTGCAACCTAAGCGTTTAATATACCGTGAAATAAAGTTGATGTAAAGAACATGTTTTAAGTTAATGGCATTTATTAAGATTGTCCGTGCTGCGTTCACTTGTTGCTCTCCTCATAGTGTTGCTTAACTGCTTAAATCCGGCAAAGTGGTGGTTTTTAGGGAAAGAAAAGCTCGATTATGAGTTGTTTGGGAGGAAAGACGTGCTTGTCTTTTTTTGTTATTATTTTTGAGGTTTGTTCCCGCTGTCAGTGTTGGCGGAGCTGAGCAAAGGTTTTACTGCTGAATCATCATGACTTTACAAAACAGCGGGTTTACAGCTCAGGTCTGCCGGGCTGGTTGGACAAACACTGGGTTTACTGCAACTACTGACTTCTTCCTACGCCTTCATGGAAACTCAGCACATCTACAACAGTTTGGCGGCTTTACGAAGACGGAGGGGTTTTATTTAGCTTTGGTTTACCCACCACTGACACATGAGCTGATGGGTTTCCGACCCCGGGCCTGCGAGACACAGACCGTGGGGGGAAGAGGCCGGAGGAGTCTGAGGTTTCCTGGTCAGAAAGCCTGTCCCTGAAGTCACTGTTATCATTTTGAGCAACTCTGTGACCACTACATGTGGACTTGACCAAGCACCACAAAAGGACTTAAAAAGACAAAAAAAGAAAGTAACAAAAACAAAACCCATGACGTAATAAATAAATAAATAAATAAATAAATAAATAAATAAATAAATAAATAAATAAATAAATAAATAAATAACAACTCTTTCAAAGTGAGGGTGTTTAAAAATGACAATGCAACAACAACAAAAAAGATGCAACATAAGCTGAAATAAACTTCTCAGGTTTCATTTAGTCTTCATGTTTTCTGTCTATGTTTGTAATATTCAAGGAGCTTTTCCGAGCATCCCATAATCCAGGTTGTCAGCCTAAAGACACGACGATTTGTGTTTTTATACAAGTAGAGTTCGGATTGGCTGAAGGGCTCATATTAAACATTCATAAAGCTGTAAGTAATACAGTTTTGAAGTTACAGGACAACGTAAACAACCAAGCAAATTAATGCTCAGTTCTGTCATGAGAAAACAAATGTTTAAACTATCCTTTATTTATATGAAACGTTGTTATGAAAGGGATCCCTGATTAGTTGTAACATTAGACTTTATATGATAAAAATATACTTTAACTGTAAAATAAAGACTGTAAAAATACTGTAGGATGTTCAGTTTTTATCA